GAGACTGTTCCCAAGAGTTGGCACCACGGTGGAAAACATCGCTAAAGAAGAGCTAATAAGTCCTGTGGGCCTTGCTTTCCTTGTTTGAATGTTGATTTTACATTTGTTAACATTTAAATCTCTTTGCTCTCAATAGATCAGCCTCCAAGTCCTGGGACCAAAAAGGTTTATACTGGAGGAACTACAAATAAGATAACTTCAGTGTCTACTGGAAATCTTTGCACAGAGGTTAGAAGTACTGAAAAAAACTTTACCTGTGAATATTTATAAAAATGCTTGATATTATTTTTGACATCTATAAATGATATTTCTATATTTACACAGGAACAGGTACTACCAGCTAGACCTGAAGCATATCCAATTCCAACACAAACTTATACCAGAGAGTATTTCACATTTCCAGCCTCCAGGTCTCAAGATCGAATGGGTCCCATTCAGAATCAATGGGCAAGTTATGAAGAAAAGCCCCAAATTCCTGCTGAAAGTAATCACTATATCAATAATGCAAATCAGGTTAGAAATAATTTGCTTCATCATATTAGTAATTTGGAGATTGTAGATAGAATAAGAATTATAACTAGGACTGGTCTAGTATTACATTGTTTTAAAAATATCTTCATATTTTATCCAATTTTACTGTCTCTAAAATATAGTATTTGGCCAATTTCTAGACTAGAATCCTACACTCATTTATATTGTATTTGAAACCTGCTGCTTGTTTGTATTGTTCTTGAAAAGCTGTCAACTTATATTTAGAATTGATGGTTGAAATACAGAAGTCTGATATTTTTTTAAATCACATTTAGAGCTTTTGAGAAAAAAAATGACTGTATAAGAATAAGTTAATTTTTAACAAGTGTAGAATGCCTGGTTTGTCTTTGGTTTTTTTTCTAAATGTCCAAGACATTACTAATCTGTCAGTGAATTTTAATATGTGCATTGTATTCATTGCTTTTGGACTAATAGAGCATAAGAAATACATTCATTGAAAACAAAGCATTTTTAGGTCATAATGAAGGTCTTTGAAAGAGTACAGAAATGTTGCTTTTGTTCATAGCTGCCAGCTCTTCTGCCTGGTCTGTTTTGTACTTAAAATAACTTGTAGAAGTACACAGCAAAGTTTGTAAAGCTTATAAACAGATTAGAAATTTTCAGGTATGTGGTACATTATTATTATATTTCTATATAGCAGTTGTATTTTGTATTTGATACTGCAGATCTTTGCAGTTAGCAACACAGTATATTTTGACACTGTAGCATTTAATAAGGAATTTATATTGCATTTAAATAATTGCAGAAACTAAAAAAATGAATAGGAGATTAACAATAAGTGGGATGAACAAATAGTTCCTTTTTCTTTGCAATATATTTGTGTGTGTGTGTGTAATTTTAATAAAAGTTGCCAAAGCAATGTGGGGAATGACAGGTTAGTTATTCATGTAAGCTCTTAGACCTAAATATTTCTGGGAGCACAAGCTATTAAAAGTGATAATAGTTTGGCATTATTCTGAGGAAAAGCCTGGATTCTGCTGATATTGGACATATTCCAAGATATTTTCAAAATCTTGTCTCAAGTCGTTTTAGAGTTTAACTTGATTGGAATGAAAAGCTAAATGTAGAGCTTCAAACTTGTAATGTCACTTGTTACAATGCCGATTTTAAGAACAAGTGAATAAGCATTTCATAATCATCGTACAAAGGTAATAAATTGCCATTTAGTTCTTGCTGTATGGCCTATTAATATATGGAAACTAATGTTATATTATTATTTTTTTAAGCGTGTAACACGTTCTCAAGAGGAACTGCGGGATAACAACATTTATCAGGCAGAAAGGAATCAATTAGAAGTTGCCATGCAAAAAGATATGGAATATATTGATAGAAAATCAGATAGCGATCCATGGATGAATTCTTCTGTGGATTCTAGCACATCAAGCCAGGAGCATCTAAACAGTTCCTCTAAATGTATCCCCTCTGGATCTTCTTTAACCAAAAGTGGACCTGGCCGTTGGAAAACACCTATAATTACTCAACCAATGTTGCTGGCAGTTTCTCAGTCCACAAGGACAGACTTACCTCCTCCTCCCCCACCAATGCACTATGCAGCTGACTTTGATGGACTGCAAATGGATTTACCTCTCCCACCACCACCTCCACCTGCAAATCAGTTGGGGTCCCAGTCATCTCAGGTTGCTGCTGCTGCAGAGCGCAAAAAGAGAGAAGAACATCAGAGATGGTATGAAAAGGAAAAAGCACGCTTGGAGGAAGAACGAGATAGAAAACGTCGAGAGCAGGAAAGAAAACTGGGGCAGATGCGTGCTCAGCCACTAATGCCAGCTCAATCATTGCTTCCTCCTCTTCAGCAGGTGAAACCGGAGAAGCCTTCAACACTGCAAAGGTCTCATGAGACGGTCATTAGAGAATTGCAGCCCCAACAACAACCCCGAACCATTGAAAGAAGAGATCTCCAATATATCACCATAAGTAAAGAAGAACTGTCCTCTAGTGATAGTCTTTCTCCTGATCCCTGGAAAAGAGATGCTAAGGAGAAGCTGGAGAAGCAGCAGCAGATGCATATTGTGGATATGCTCAGTAAAGAGATTCAAGAACTTCAAAATAAGCCAGATCGAACAGGTGAAGAAAATGACCGCCTACGCAAGCTCATGCTGGAATGGCAGTTCCAAAAACGACTTCAAGAGTCAAAGCAAAAAGATGAGGATGAAGATGAGGAAGAAGATGATGACATTGATACTATGCTGATTATGCAACGACTAGAAGCTGAGAGAAGAGTGAGGGTAAAATAAGAGAATGAATTTCATGGGCTAAAATTCCCACATATTGCTAGCATAAATATAAATTAGTTATCACTATAGGATAAAGGAGGACTGGACTCTCATAATGTCCCTGTCTTTCATTGCATATAATGAAGTTGATTATTCTGATTTGTCGATTAAGTGGTGTTGCAAGCTATTACCCAGAAATTGCTAGGGGGAGGTAACCGTCTTTTGAGTTCCTTTTTTTTCAAAAACAAAATCCCTATCCTTATTTTTTTATATAATTTAAATTTGTACGATACAAATGTAATATTCCAGAACATTAGTGTAGCTTTTTAAATCTTTGACCACTAAAAGCTGTTTTGAATTTGTTTTATCTGTTAGTACATAGCATAATAGGAATTGGAATTTTCACTCCAAAGAGTAATAATTTTATCTTTATCAGGAAAAATAGCTCTTTAGTAAATCTGCTTTCAAGAATACAGCTTCAAAAACAATCCCATACTTTAAAAAAAAAACAAATTGTAGAATCTGTATTAGGGGCTATAAAAAATAACATTGATAAATGATCAAATTATAACAGAAACTTGATTTCAGCAACTTGGGTGTTATTTTTTTACAGCAATTGCTTTCTACGTTATGCTTCTTTTCCTGTTTTTAAAAGCTTTACTCTCCATTGCTGCTTTTAACACATTTTCTTGCTAAATGCATAGCTTTGTTTTTATTTATTTTTCATTTGGTTAACTTTTCTATACTGAAAATTAGGTAGATAAAATGAATGTAACCAACTATACATGGAATTGTTGCTAATTCTGATGTTGCCATTCAGCTTTCTAACCTAACTGTATGGATAAAAATCTACATACTATACAATTTTAAAACATTTCTTCTTCATTACTGAGCAGCTTGACATTACTATTATCAAATTTGCACCATATGCATTGTTAAACTCTTTCTAAATTGTGCAAAATATATCTTGTATTTGTTTTGCAGAGTTTTAGAGCTCACATTAGATCTGCTACTTTTTAATGATAAATTTAAAGTAATATAACCAATTGGCCATTTTCCCACAATACTCTGTTCTCTTGATATCGTGTAAATCTTTAAGAACAAATAAATGAATTAACAGAGTATACAGAAAATATTTTTAAAAAATCTCCTTTCCTGATTTATTTTGAGAGATTTGCTAACATAATATTAGACTGTCACACTGACTTTTATTTTTATTCAGCTGTAGTAACAAAGAAAATGATTTTGGCATAGTGCAATCTAAATTTATCCTTATTTTCACTGTGCATCTTTCTTTTTCCTTCTCTTATTACCTGCAGCAGACTGCTTTGCCAGCAATCTCTGTTCTAGATTTGGTATGTTCTTATTTCTTTCTCTTTAATGCCTTTCCTTAATACTTTTTTTCTTTTTCTTTTAATTATTGATAATCCAATGTGCATTGGATATTTGTTTATCTTTAGAGTGCTTCAGGGCAAGGAATAATACATTAAATTAGTGGTAAGCAAAGATACTTACCTAATGCTTGAGGAATGCTCCTAATTTTTTCTTCTACTTTTCTTTTAAAGTTGTATTCTGTTTGCATATTTTACTTGTGAACTACTATAGTTAACCATATATTAACAATTTAACATATATCAGTAGATTGAAAACATTTTGTACAGGTGGGTTTCCATTGTTCATTTCCACATGGTTTAAAAAAACAAAACTTCCCAACATCATATATTTTAATGTATTTTAGCATTCCAATATATTATTTGTCTTCTTATTCAAGCTTTTGATAATTTGGTATTTACAGTTAGTTTTAATGATTTAGTTTTGGGAATAAACTTTAGGGTTAAACCTTTGAACTTAGATGATTTAAAATATTTTTACAAAAAATATTTCACACTCGTTGTTACCTATACTGATGGAAGAGCAGAACTGTATGTTACACTAAAAGCATCAAAATATATGAATAGTTTTATAATTTCATGATATGTTTTAGCTATTTTATTAACTGAAATCAGTATAAGATGTATTGTACTGATCAGTTTTATTAATCTATTATGACAGAATCAGATCTGAGTAAATCACTCAGTGCAATATTCAGTTTCTCTTTCTTAAAAATAATTTTGAGTATTAAACTGAAAACCATAGATACTACAATTCAACAATGTAAAGAGTTTTTGGTATCTAATTCAGACTTACTGAACTCAATATATTTCAAAGTGCAGTTGATCATGACACAAGAAACCTATCAAATGGAATTATAATTAAAGATTTTACCTCCTTCCCTTTTATAAAAAATACTAATTTAGATTTTTCCCCCTTTAAAATAACACCACTTGGTGCAATGCTTGGAATTACAGTATAATTTTAGCTGTTTTAAAAAGTGTGGGACAGAGTCCAGTAGTTCTCCTTTATTCTTTTGTCACACTTCTTCTCACAGGTGTTTAAAGGAGATGATAGTCCTTTTTTGAGGAACACTTTTCTGAAAATGTTTGATTTCTACAAGATGTTTGATAATTTGAAATAGCTAGAGATCCTTATTTAATGTGATTAAATATTTGCACTTTAAAGCATGGGTTTTTGTTACTTTTCCTATTTTACAGAGATTCCAAATGCTCTTTTGCAGTAAAAAAAACATTACTATATGAAAAAATGAAATCATACACAGCTTAAATAACTGATATGTTGGGTTTACTGTCAAGACCAGAGGAATGTTATCTAGTGGGAAAAGAATAGAAACTTATCATTGACCATAGTTAGTGCATCTTCCCAGAAGAACTGGTAAAACATAAGAGTTTGAACTATAAAAACAATGTCTCAGAACAGAAATACCTACAAAATCTATAGCATGGGTGTCCAACATTTTACCTTGCCTGGGCTGCATTGAATGAAGAGGAACTATCTTGTCTGCATATAAAATATATAGTTAATAAGTTTAAAATTTACAATCTTGTAGGGCCTCATTACTAGCTGTTCAGGTCGTCATGCAGGCCATGGGCCACAGGTTGTACATTCCTGATGAATATCATTTCTTCAGGAGAAAATTTCCTTTATAAGTTTTTTTTCCAAAATACAAAGAAAATTCCCAAGAGGAAATAATTATTAATTAGCTCTTTTTTTTAAAAAAAAGGTTCTTTTGAACAGTAATGGGGATTTTTCTTCATGAGATATTATTTCTGTCTTCGAAAGGATCTGAGGTAAAACACAAGATAAATCTTCATTAGTTACAGGATGAAGAGCGAAGACGGCAGCAGCAATTGGAGGAAATGCGCAAACGGGAAGCAGAAGATAGGGCCAGGCAAGAAGAAGAGCGCCGTCGCCAAGAGGAGGAGCGGACAAAGCGAGAGGCTGAGCAAAAGGTTTCACTTAATCTTCTGTAATGTTGCATTCTTCACTTAAATTAGTTTGACCCACTGGTATTACTAAGTCTTCAACAAAGCTAGGAATAGAATTGTCAATAGTGGGTTTTATGGCTCTTAACATGTACTGTATTGAATTCTGTACACTACTTAAAATAAAAAGCCAAGCTGACCCTGTTTGTGGATTTGCAATTTAAGGAAAAGAAAAATATATTTCATTATTCTTCAAGAGTCTTTGAGAAGCAGGCAGTATATAAACTAGTAAATGAAATCCAAATAAAATAAAAAGATATAGGAAGCTGAAAGTACAAGAAAAATGTAAGGACCTCAGATATTAAGTATAATGAAAAAAATCAAAATGAAATCCCCTCCAGGAAGTAAGTCTAAAGGGGTAAAATTATTTTTAAAGCAATAAGAATAAAGTTAGAAGTTTTGAAATCCTATTTTTAAAAAAGGTAGAAAGAAAAATCTGTCAGATTTAATTCAGAAGAATTAAATGAAGAACTTAATTCAGAAGAAACCATATCCAGTTAGACAATGACACTAAGTGGGTTTAAATAAGTGGGATTCATTAAACAAAAAGAAGGGAATGGATAGACAGTGGTCTGATTATGAAATGTTTTGGTTGTTAGGAAAAATTTTAAACATGAAGGAATCCCAAGTAAAATATTAGCATATAATATTAATTGTAGTTCATCTTCCCACCACCACCATTTTTAATTTTTCATGTCCCTTCCATTTAAGACATATATGATACTGTGTTATACCATTCTAATGATTGAAATCTCATCCGTTTTTTCCAAATGATAAATATTTGAATAAATGTTGGAAGCTTAATATTAATGAATGAAACTGGTTAGGCAGCATACCGAACTTCACTATCCTTCAGACTCCCTGTCAGTATTCTTTTAATTTAAAAGAAAAGTGAGGAAGTGACATTGATTGAAAATAAAAAAGGAGTTACTTGTGTTTTGTATTGAAGTAGACCACTGGCTACCAAGAAAGGCAAAGGTAAGCAGGGCTGGGAAGTGTTTTGGTTTTTTTCCTTAGAGGTAGTGATGGAAAGCAACTTCATCATCCTGTTAAATAGGCATCTTATGCCTTGTCATGGACACCCCATAGCTTTGTTTTTTTCAGAGTGGTCACTATTTTAAATATGCTTTATGGCTTAAAAAAATATTTAGCCCTCTTTTAAGGAAAACAATGGTATAAGTCAAGCCAGGGTTTAGGAATCAGTCTATAGGAGTGTTCCTTCAGTGGTGTCTGTCTTTGTATAAACTCCTATATCCCATTTAAGGAAAGCAAAACATCAACAACAAAAAGACTGTCATTATCTCTGCTCTGCATGTTTAGTAAAATTACTTGTAAAGCTGACCTAAGACTATGTTCTTCCTCCTTGCAACACTTTCTGCATTGCATTTGTAATACCACTCCCCCACTCAAAATCTATTTCATAGGATTTCCTGCCTCTCAAGAGGCAGTTGGAAAGGGTGAATTTCACCCAAAGTTCAGTATTTAAAGGAGAAAGTGTGACTTTCTTCCTTGATAAAAGAAACAGTTATCCAGACCTTTTCTAATGTGAACATTTCCATGCATGCATTTGGTATTTGACATTTGCTGACATCCTTTTATTCCCTTTGGCTCAACAGAGGCGACAGGAAGAAGAATATTATAATCGCTTGGAAGCCGAGAGGCGCCGCCAGCATGATGAAGCAGAACGGCGATTGCTGGAGCCCGATGAGCCTGGTCTGTACAGACCTCCGCTTCCACGGGAATATGAATTCCCCTCCCCACCCCTTTCATCTAATGCTCCTCCTCCCCCACCTCAACGAAACACTTCTTACCTCAAAACTCAGGTCCTCTCTCCTGATACGATTTATACTGCCAAGTTTGTTGCATACAATGATGAGGAGGAGGAGGACTCCTGTCTAGCAACAGGTCAGAATAAGTACACCAGTACAAGAAAGTCTTGCGATGACCTTCCTCCTGTCCCCCCTAAGCCACAGCAGCCCTCCCGCCAGCCACGCCCAGTCTCAGATGGTTTCTGTCTGTCCAACTCATGCCAGCCCTCCGTTGTCAATGCCAACAGTACTGCTAACAAAATGAGCCAACCCCCTCCCCCACCACACAAGCCAAGTTTCATCAATCCCAGCAACACAAAAGGTAGACGGAATATTTTAATGTACAATCTCTCTGAAAATTCTACAAATTTCCCACTAAAGTACTCTACTGAACAAAATCACTCTCATGATTCTTTCTTACTTGATCACAATCTTGGGCGTGGTGATCCAACTCTCAATCTGATTTGTTGCTATAAATTTTATTTTAAACCTGTGGTCTTTCCATTTCTTTATCAAATTCTATAATTCTAACTTTCATATATTGAAAGCAAATGATTCTCAAAATTCCACTAAAAGTACTGTTGGGTTTGGCTTTGATCTACACCTCTTTCATTCACCATTTTTATTACTGTTATTCATTGGTCCATGGTGCTTTCACATTTCTGAGGTACATGTTTTTTGCAATAAGAATATTTATTTGCTGTGGGAAACAGTGGGCTTTCTGCTTATTACTTGCCATGTAAACAGTGTGCAAAAGGCTTTGAAAGTATATAAACCAACAATTACATTTGAAGTGAAATGGGTGTATGTTTTAGAAAAAGCAAACAAAGCAGATAGATATAGTATACTTTTTATGAGGGTTCTACTACACATTGCTCAATATTGAAGTAAGGTTCTCTCCATTATGTTATTTTGCTTTATCCTATTTACATTCCTCACTTTCTTCTTTCCCCTTCATTATAAAATATGTAACTGAATAATACTGGCCATAAGTAGGTCCACTGGAACTCTGATGTCAAAGAATTACAAAGCTTTAGGTTGTAGCTGATTTATTCTTTGACAAGATACAAGTAAAAGTCATATTTTTGGAAGAAGGTGGAGCATTAGTAAGATAGTCAAGGAATCATGGAAAAAGCCTGTAATCTAAAGTGGGTCATACCAGACCATTGCTCTTTCTAGTAAAAGCAGATAATAATGCTATTGTTATTATAGTTAAGATAAGAAACTTCAGAATTATCATTCACTTCCTAAATGTAATGTTTCCCCAGGCAGCCATAAGAGAACCCTGCCTATAGATAAATTTTGCCAATCATTATTTCGTATTTTGGAAATGCTATATAATATGTTTATAAAACAGTATAATGTGATAAACATCACTGTTAAATAAACCCATAACTGAATGACTGCACCCAGAAATGCTTATTAATTGCTCCACTTCAGCTTGGAAATATTTGTATGGCAGACTCTGTCTTGAGCCCTGTCATGATCAACACTTTCAATAGTGACTTGGATGAGGTTGCTGAGGGGACTCTTTAGAAAATTTGATGATGACACAAAGCGATGAGAAGCAGCTAATGCTTTAGATATAAGTGAGAACATTAAAAGAGGTCTAGAAAGAATTGAGCATTTTGCTGAAATGAGTAGATGGAATTTAACAGAAATTTTAAAAACTCCAATTTAAGTAGGAAAAATGCAAGGTATATTTGTATAAGCAGTCAGTTAGTGGAACAGGCTATTACATGAAGACCTTCACCAGAGGTCTTCAACTAGAAAGTAAATAGTTATCTGTCACTTCTTGCATTTGGCAGAGGGTTGTACTAGATTATTCCCAAAGTCCCTAACAATTATGATTCTGTGCTTCTGTATCTAATAATTTTTATTAAGATATATAAACAAGCTAAGAGTTGTTACTCAAAAATACCTTATAATTTAATGTATCATCTGACCTCCGTATACGGTCTATAACATCCCTTTAATTATTTTAATATTTTTAAGTTTATAAATAGGTCACATATTCCATTTGAACTTTCAATCTTCTGTGAAGGATGTCTGCTTAAAGTAAAAAGCTCTTTGCACATAATACAAAATCGCTATGCAGCTTCTCTCTTCATCTCATTAACACTCATGTTGCTGTCCTTAAACGAATGTATGGCAAACGGTGCTCCTGCAAAATTAAGCTCCTTCCATTAGATTGTTGGGATTACTTTAGAAGACTGGCACTCCTCAATCTGGGAATAAAATGTGAGCAACTATAACTAATACTAATGTGGATGAGCTTCTATGTTTAAATAAACTTTTCAACATAAAAACGATAATATCCACAGAGCCTTGGTGGTGCAGTGGTTAGAGTGCAGTACTGCAGGCTACCTCTGCTGACAGCCGTCTGTCTGCAATTTGGCAAATCAAATCTCACCAGGCTCAAGGTTGACTCAGCCTTCCATCCTTCCGAGGTGGGTTAAATGAGGATCCAAAATTGTTGGGAGCAATATGCTGACTTTGTAAACTGCTTAGAGAGGGCTGTAAAGCACTATAAAGCGGTATATTAAGTGCTATTGCTATTCTGACAATAAGCTCAAAATTGGGCATGAAGCAAAGTTAATTTCTAACCATCATATTAATATTCTGAGTAGATTCCTAGTGTTTCCCTAGAAGTTTACCTCATTAAATTCAGTTTCACACTTAATTCACTTAATTCATAATCTCACTAAATTCAGTTGGGATTTCTTAGAAATACCCATGCATTAAGTTCTCTTTAACTAATTGTTGGGCACCAGTCTGATATTAAATACAGCTTTATACTACTGAAATCTATAAAACATTTAAGTTCAATGACTGAATAAAGACTACTACTGGAAGGAGTGTGTGATATAGCTTTTGTGAACAAGGCTTACAAGAAAAACACATGCAGTATTTAAAAACTAAAAAGTGAGAATCTATGAAATGTGGGGAATGGGTTCATATTTCAAATGCAAATGATGTGTTTAATCTTGTGGCCTTTGGGGAAGATTTATTGGTAGTGTAAAGGGTTTGCTGTTTTTGCAATTGTGTTTGTTCATACTAGAGCAAAGTATAAAGGTGCAGTGCTGCAAAATGTAAACAAAATAGACATTTTAAAAACAGAATTTCTAAATAGGCATTATAGAGTTATAGATTCATTGTGGACTCTGCAGTTGAAAGAATATATTGGAAAGTTGTCATAAGGCTATATTCTCAAATTCTGCACATTCTTAATATCTTATAATATGTTTTCATCTAGTCTTATAAACAGAAAGGCTAAAGCTTATTTTACAATTATTCATGCAAACTGCTTAAATTTCATTTAAATCACTGGAATTTTGGCAATTTGTATATGCAAGATTTGGCAAGTTTGGATATTTATTTCATTTATATTTGATTTCATTTATATTGTCCATGATGAAAAGTTGTCATGATAGAAATATTTGCCATTATATTCAGTTTTCAATCATTTTTCCCTTTCTTATAAGGGAGCTGAAAGTGATAGGAGACTAGACCTAAAAGTAGAGTCAGATCTATTTAAAGCACTGCACCATTTGAGAAAAAAAATAGTTATTGTTATTTTACTTTTCTTTTACAAAGGCTCAAACTACACTGGATCTACTGGAGCACTTGCAGGTTCACAGGAACCTTATTCAGACTCAAGAGAGAAGAAATTGAAAAGGTAAAATGGAAATAAGTTTGCTTTTAAATGCTACTTTATTGGTGCGAGATATTAACATATACTCCTGGTTGATGTTTAGGTAATTAAAGGTTTTTAAGGATCTAAAATATTTTTGAACATAGTAATGCATCCAATAAAAATGTTTAGGCCTGGGTAAAGTGTTGGACTAGGACATCAACTTTTAATTCATTTTTTAACTTTAGAAGCTTTCTGGGTAACTTTGGGTAAGTCATTCTATCTCAGTCCAGCCTAAATCATAAAAAGAAGTGATGAGAGGAAAATAGGTCTTGTACTGTTCTTGCATGTAAGTGCAAGAAGCTAAATGTCATATATAAGTCAGTATATGTAATCTTGACATTATGTAGTTCATATGTAGAAATCCAGAAGTAGGGCATTGGAGTCATCTCAAATGTTAACCCACCTTATATACAATATTTTAGATTTCCTAATAGTTACACTACAAATGCTCTAATAGTATGAATAATGTAATGATGAAAAATTGTTATTTAATTATATGTCAGTTTTTAATGTTTAGTAATTAATCTAGCTGATTTTTTTAAAGGATGCGAATGTTGTAGACCAAGCCTAATTAGAAGAACAGAATAGCTGCATTAATAATGTATTTTTATAACATTGAATATTTTTTATATTTCCTGCAGTCAAGATACAGATATACCTGGTGCACCAGAGAACTTGACTTTCCGGGAGCGACAAAGACTCTTTTCCCAGGGTCAAGATGTGTCTAACAAAGTAAAGGCATCTAGGAAATTAACAGAATTGGAAAATGAATTAAATACAAAGTAGGATAACTGTCACCTTATCAAATAATCAGAAAATCTCTATGGAACTAGAGTTGGGGCAGTTCAAGGAGGAGGAGCATCTCATATAAAATGAGATATTTTTTTCCGTCTGGACTATTTCTTTCTAAACTGTATGTTGCAATAGCAAGAAAATCAATTATTTGCCAAGTGCTTGTGGTTTATACAATTGAGGCACTGTAAAATATATTTTAATTAAATAAATCAAGTGTCATGTCCTTTTCCACATCATTGTCCTTTAGCTGCTTTTGGAACTGTCTGGAATTGTTGCTTCCTAGTCTTTTACAAAACATGTAAACATCTGTTAAGCAGAAAGAGTGGCTGTAGCTTGAACTGCCTAACTACCACGGCTTGTTGCACTGTAGATTTGATACAAGTGTAAGGTAATATAAAATTTTAAGAGATCTTGGGAGCTAGTCTTTCAGATTAGTATCATAATAGTGAACACTAGTATTAGGAGTCCAATTTCTATAAACCCTTGCTATAAACACACTTGATTATTAGAAATAAAAGGGCTCCATTATCATGTCCATACTAAGCCACATAGAACATTCTATGTACATCTAGATTTTGGACATATTAAATACTTGACTTGTTTTGATGGCAGTCCAGCAATGTAACAAGATATGCATCCTATTTTTCCCACTGTCTTCTCTCTTCTTACACTGAAGTATTAATCACTTCTAAAACTTGAGTTTTGAAGCATTGATAAGAGCTTAAAAATAAGTAATATTGGACACTGGGTCTGGTGGTGTGTGCGCGTGTGCGTGTATGCGTATGTATTGTTTTAAAGCTATTCTGAAATTTCACACTTTAGCAATATGGAATAAACTTCAAGCGGTAGCTCCATTGTAGCCAAGATAAAACCAAAGTTAAATATTCACAAATAGACTAAAGATGTCAATTATCAGTAGCAGGCAATTAAGCACTACACGCAGGGGAAATGTGGTTATTTGTGGCTGCAAAAGGAAAGAAAAATTGCCTTTCAGTAAGAATTTCCTTTGAGGAAACCTGGCAATATTCTGATGGCATGGTCATCAGACATTCGTATAGAAAAGTGCTGGTCAAGGTACCTCTAGTTTGCTATTGTTCTTTTTGTTTATATTGTAGAAGATGTTGGCAGTTCAAGCTATTTTACACACTATGTTGCAGGATTATTTAATTTTTAAATGGTTGAAATCTGTTTCACCCACTGATCTTTCAGCTACATGTATAGCTGATGTTAAGAATAAAGACCTCATCTTAGTTTGTTTTTGCATTGTGTGATGCTTAAAACAATATATTGTGATTCTAAACAAATTTTCTATTTGATAAAAGTCCTTAATTGGGTTTTAGATGATTTTTCTGTATAATATGTTCTCTTATAAATATATATTTAGGGAATTATGCACACTTCCAAATGCAGAGGGTAGACTTTACTGCCTTAGAAATCACTTTTAATAAGAGTTGTATGATAAAAAAAATAAATGCAAGTTAATGATAAAATTGGAGTGTAAATATTTTTTTTACATAGTTCAGGTTTCTTATTTGAAAGTGTTCTTTTAATGTTCACCTGTTAAATATGAAGTAGGAGATTAAATTGGTTGAAAGTGTTAATGAAGGATCGCATGCTTGTTATGTCTGTTATTCAGGGAAAAAGGAGGTGTCCCCCAATTTATCTTAAGAACACTAGATATTCTGTGGCTGGAATACTGTTGCTGCTAGAATTTAAGAAAATAAATATTACTTACTGTGGAGTGGATTTGAACACTATTTGGCAGGGGCAGGCAACTTTACAATCCGTGGATTTCAACTCCCAGAATTCCTGAGCCAGGAATTCTGGGAGTTGAAGTCTACAGGTCATAAAGCTGCCATAGTTGTCCACCCCTGCTTATTGGGCATTCAAGCCATGTGAATATGAATAAAAATGCTTTTCATAAGTTGGTGCATTATGGAGAAAACAACATAAGAACTGCTGTGGTTTCCCATTTCTACTGTATTTCACTTGCAACCTATTTTTAATAAACTTTGTATTGTATTTAACTTTGCACTGTATAATGTCTGATCAGGAGTATTTGTTCATATTATCCAGACATATTTTCTGTTGCAATATTAAACACTTGCTAGGAATTATAATCTGGGAGAATTAAACCCGTTTAATTCAAGCTATTGATTATTATATGAAAAATTAAAATGACATCTATTTTTAATAGCTAAAGGTTTTATGAAATATTTGATTTCCAATGTATACAGTCTTTATTAGAACTTCAGAGTTTCTTTACCCAGATCTTCTTCCATCTAGACAAAAAATATGGCCAAGTATAAAAGAAGTAAATCACAATAAAGTCTTAATAAAGTTAAATTACAACTAACAATTAATTTAAAGACCTGTAAGGCAATCCAAAGTATGTACTTCACATGTAGCATTCTATATAATGTACTGAACTTGAATAACTAACAAAGTTTTAGTAGTTCAAATATAGCTGTTTCACAACATATAATAGCTACTGGCAATAAATTAAAATTAAAAACAAAAAAACCAATACTTACATTTAAAAATCAGCAATATAATATATGAGTGCATATTTTAAATTATGCTTAATTTCTGGGAAGGTGGAAAAAAGCTGCTTCACTTTCCAGAATTTTTGTCTGAATGCTTCTGAAGGATAGCTCTCCATACAGTAATTAATATCTGACGCATAAGTTACTACTCTCATCAAACTGAATTTTATAAGCTGGCATTCATGCACAGTGCATTTCTTCAGCAGAGGAAAATAGTCTTCATATCTGCTCCTGCTTCTTAAATGGGATTTATACTTGTCATGCTTCTGACTGTAATCACTTGTGGTACAACAGAAAATTAAGATAAAATAATGTAAAAAAGAACAGCTGGAAGAGGAAAAAAAATGGAGTTGTCTTTCTAATGTACTTAATTTCTTAAATCAGTAAACCCTGCTATTGTAGATACATATCTTCCTATATATTATAAAATGTTTGTAATTTTATCCTTATTTTAAAAAGTTCAGAACTTTAACCATTCTGTTTCTAGCTTCAAATATAATGTTTCTTTGAGAGTTACATTTCTGATAGTGATTACTACTTGCTTCTTTACCACAACCAATATTTTATATACACAATACAAAGCTGAACTCCTTACTAAAGTCGTTACAAACAGCAGGTGCCAAATAATGTCTTCTCATTAAATTTCCCTACTAGATAAATTTTGTGGTTTATATATGCATGTTTGACCAATCTGTGTTCACAGTCATGGAGAAAAACCAACTTGTACTGTAACCTTAAAGTTGTTTGACCTTTTCATGATTTGCTTATAGGAAACAACAAATCACATATTTTTACTGCTATAAAGTCCTTTGTGATATTACAGAAATTATGCAGAAGTATTTCCCAAGTTAAATCTCTGAGAAAGTGATCCAGTTTTTTGTAACAAAATGCTTGAAATAATCAGCTTCTTCAGGCATGTGAAAGTCTTTTAAGAGCAGCTCTGGCCCTCAAAAAAAACTTGCCAAGCAATTTTTAATGTACCAAAGTAGAAAATTATTAAATATATAGAACTACAGTGTGAGAGTATGTAGGTGTGCGTATGAGTAACTATGCATGGCATTAAATTAGATGTTAAATATGGAGGTTGTTTTGGCCTCATCTGTTTGAGGAAGTTTATCCTCAAAGTACAACCCTTAATGCAAAAACGTTTGGGCATCCCACCTGTAGATGTCATTTGTTTATTCATGTCAGAAGCATCACAATTAAAAAAGGCATACTATATGACATAAAATTTAAAATAACTTCCACCTGTAGAGTATTAATACCTTTCATTGCAATGTAATGGGGTTGGCTGCTGGGGGCTCGCAGGGGCTCAAGAGTCCTAGCTAAGACACTGTGGGGCTCAGAGAGCCCCCAGTAACCTCAGAAAGACAAGCAGCAAGGGAAAGCTCTTAATAGGCTTAATTGAACTTCTGGGCGTTCAGCCAAGAGCATTTCACACCTTATAAAAGTGTTACAAGCTAGATAAACAATCCTCAGCGCTTGTGAGGGAGAGCCATTGAGAAAATCAGGTAACATAGCCATTAGCCTCCGAGGGGATTAATTTCCAAATAGTAAGAATCACGTAACTCACCAGAAACTCCACTAACACTTCAAGACTCTCACAGTCACTGCTATTAAGCCTGTTTTCACCCTGTCTTTTTTTAAGTATTACATGCACAAAATAATAAACAACTTTTTGGTATATATCTTTTTTTAGGTAATTAGGGCAAAGAAGCAATGTTGAGTTGGCCACACCTACCCAGTCACATGACCACCCAGCTATGCCCACCCAGCCAGTCATTAGGGCAGAGAGCCCTTTGCTAAAAAAATTTGAAGCCCACCCCTCATTGTAATGGCTATTTCCCATTGCTGTATAAAATTTTGGAATTTAACAGCATTTATACACATAGATTCATGTCCCAGGGACATGAATTATTCAAATCTAACCAAATGCCAAGAGCCTGTCACCATTATTGTGAGTCCTATCTTAATAAGTTTGCAACATGAACAATGTTATTTGATCTCTTTCTTCATTGATAAGAGCAGGTCCCTGAGCTGCAGGCTGAACCATTATGCCCTTAAGTATACAGAGGGAGACCCTGTGTTTCATAGTAGGAATCTCCAATCTTTTTCAGCTAGTGGGCATCTTTAGAATTTTAAGAGGGTTCAGGGATATTAGGAAACTTAGAGAAGCAAATATAAATTATCACTTCTATACAGATAATTTCAATGAGTTAGCATCTCTTTAATATTAAAAACTTCAATAATATCAAGAATGCATTCTTGCTTCGTACCGTAAGGTTGAGTTTGACAAAGCATCTACTTATCCTGCAGATCAGAAATACAGCACTGGCTGTTGATTGTGTTCATTGTGTTGCAACTGTCCACCACTATGTATCTGTTTCTTGTGCACCTCCCTCACGCTTGTGGCTTCCAGAATCCCAAGCGGGGCCACTATGAAAATTGGGGGGGAATTGCCAAGATGGAGAAATGAGATGGCTCCAATCAAGACAAGATCTACAGCGGACTTAGAAATAGATCTTAAAACTGCCTTTAACTTCCTATTCACTTATAATTTTGCTCTCTTGTGCCAGCTTGAAGGGGAGGTTAAACTCAAAACCAAGTATTTTTTTTTTTACCTTCTTCTCCTAGTGCTGGGAAAATGGATGGGCAGAGTTGATTCTTAGATTTCAAATAACTGTTTTCCTCCAGAGGAGAGTGTGTGTATGTGTGTGGGGGGGAGGGAGTATAAGCTTAGAGCTGCAGATTTCTTCCAGGAGAGTAGTTGACCCATCTTGAATAAAAACAAGCGCTGCCATGTCCTGCTGTCTGCTGCAGATAATAAAGAATGTGGGAATGCTGGAGTTCCCACCGCCCTTTTTTTTTTTTTACCAAGCTCTGCTTGCAACATCAGTGGGACTCCTCTGTTTCTGATAGCTGGAGAAACATACATATCGGATATTAATACAGTTGAGAAAGTCCAGAAATATTTCACAAGAAGAGTTCTCCACTCTTCTACTCCTAGTACAAACTACCATATGCCACCAGACTTGAAATTTTAGACCTAGACAACTTAGAACTACGCCGCTTTTGGTCCGATCTAAGTGTAGTACATAAAATTATCTACTTCAATGTCCTACCTGCCAATGAATACTTGAAGCTTCAGTCATAACAATGAGCACACAATAGATACAAACTCAAGGTAAACCGCACCAAACTTGATTGCGGGAAATACAACTTCAGCAACAGAGTGGTCAATGTCTGGAATACTCTACCTGACTCTGTGGTTTCCTCCCCAAACCCCAAAAACTTTAACCTTAGACTGTCTACTATTGACCTCACCCCTTTCCTAAGAGGTCTGTTGGGGGCATGCATAAGCGCACCAATGTGCCTACCGTCCCTGTCCTATTGTTTCTTTTTTATTCGTATTCATAACCATGTTATACCTGTTATCTAATGCTTGCTTGACAAATAAATAAAAATAAATTAAAAAAGAAAAGAAAAACGGCCAAGGAATATTAGGGTATTATTAGCTATTTTAGGGGATATTAGCTATTTTCTAAAGTGCCTGTAGGCCAGACAAGGAATAATGGATGGAAACTGAAGGAGAGATTTAACCTGGAAATAAGGAGAAACTTTCTGACAGGGAGAACAATCAACCAATGGAATAGCTTGCCCTCAGAAGTTGTGGGAGCGCCATCACTTGAGACTTTCAAGAAGAGATTGGACTGCCCTTTGTCAGAAATTGTGTAGGGTCTCCCGCTTGGGCGGGGGGGTTGGACTAGATGACCTATAAGGTCCCTTCCAACTCTAATTATCTGTTATCTGGGTACATCAGACCTGTTTATTTCATATCTCTCTCCTGTTTTCTCACAGTATTCAGCAACTTCTCCTTTAAGCACGAGGAAAACAAGCCTCATACGAAAAATGTTCCTTATCTACTTGAAAGACAACCTTGCATCCTCTCTCGGGCATTTGGAGGAGTTCCTTCAAGGCTGGTGGTGCTCCCACCGAGTCTTCCAAGCAAAAAGCTTCCCGAATCACCAGCGCTCCTAAAAAAAAAGGCACGCGCGGGGCTTTGCAAAGCGATCGCTTCCGAAGTTCCGCGTGTGCCGGCGAGCTCCTCTGCCTAAAGCCGGACGGGTAGCTATAGCAACCTCCCCCCCCCCCCCCAGCTTACTCTTGGCTTGTGATTGGATGGGTCAAACGGCTTTCCTTTGAAAGTGGAAGAAAGGATCCCGGGAAGTGCTCCCTCGGCTTTTGACTATCTGGGATGGCCCGGCTCCAAACGACGAAGCCCGGCAGCGGAGTTAGCCCCCGTTTTGTGTCGGAGCAACAGATTCGGCAGCTGGAACGGAAGCTGCGAGTGAGTGTTGAGATGGTGTAAATCGGTGTCACCATTGGCAGCAAATCTACCCATCTACGACTCCGGGGTCTCCAACCTTGGCAACTTTAGGACCACAAAGTCGTAAAGTTGCCAAGGTTGGAGACCCCTGATCTGAGGTAGTGGCTAAGAATCTACACCAACTTGATGGTAACATCATCCATCCATCATCAATGGTTAGGTGCCGAAGCAGATGGACTCTAAGCCATGAGAGGAGGAAGTGGGACTTAACGATATTTAATGATAACGATATTTGGGATCAGGAGTTAAACCTAGGAAAGCTGCGATCTGATGATCTCATCTCGGTTTTCAGACTCCCTCCACTGTTATCCTTTAGTTGCATTACTTTACACTGATTTATTAATATCTCTTCGCATAATATTTCTTCTTTTCACTTTTATAGGGTTTTTTTTAAAAAAAGATTAAATAATGATTTAGTATTTATTAACTACCTGCTTGTATCTTTGTTGCACATTGCCCGTAGTCATCAAGAGATGACAGTTATATAAATTTGATAAATAAACGCTTATCATTCAAAGCTGTCATGGGCAAATATTAATGGGAGCTGTAGACTCAAAAAATTTAAAAGGCACTGAACTCACAAATGGATGGTGGATGATGTTACTAGTCTACTGGAGTGGCAAACACCAGATCTCTACTTGAGAACTTCAGATTCACAATGACATGCCTAACACAAATGGGACTCCAAAGGCAGGCAGGTGGGTGGGACAAATTTTAAATAAGTATTTAAAAGAACTAGTGGGAGATAAACACAATAACAGAATACATGTAAATACATCACATCACATCATGATGGGAGTCAGGTTCTTTAAGATATGAAAGGCTGATTGATACTGAAGAAGGATAATAATAATAATAATAATAATAATAATAATAATAATAATAATAAT